GTCTCCCTGGGGGTGGACGGGGCATGACCTCCCTCTCCAGCATCCAGGGTCCGTGCAGACAGGACAGGACGGGCAGGGCTGGCCGAGCCTCAGTGCGGCCACCTGTGAAGCGGGGGTGTTGGTGGCCACACCGAGGGCTCAGCACCTCCCACCCAGTCCCCCTCCATATCCACGGGGATGGTTCCAGGACCCCCTGAAGCCAAAGCCCACAGATGCTCCGTCCCTTCCGTGAAACACCGTGGTATTCAGTGGTCTCTAGGTGGCCTGGGATACTGGACACGAGGTCAACGCCATGTGACTAGTTCCTGTCGTGCATTGTTTAGGGAACAACAAGAAGAAAAGCTTCCGTCTGTGTTGGGATGCACAGCTTTTCTGCATACTTTCTACAGTCGTTGTGGATTTCCACCTTGTCTGTACAAAACACTCATGCAACATGGGAGGGAAGGAGAGGAGGAAGGGTTGCTCGTTTATCCCACCACAGTTATCCCTGGAAAACAAAGAAGGGACCCGGGCACGGTGGCGCGTGCCTGTCATCCCAGAGATCCGGGAGGCTGAGGCAGGAGGATTGCAGGTTTGAGGCCAGCCTCAGCAACAGTAAGATTCTGTCTCAAAATAAAAATTAAAAAAGGGCTGGGGATATGGCTCAGTGGTTAAGTGAATCTGGGTTCAATTCCTGGTACCAAAAACAAAACAAAAAGAACTCAGCACCTGGCAAAAGCCACCTCCTGGAATTCCAGTCCATTCCTAGGGAAGCTCCTCCTTCCTCCAGTCAGAAGGCTGACCTTAGCAAGTCAAGTATGGGGCTGGGGTTGGGGCTCAGTGGTAGAGAGATCGTCTGGCATGCGTGAGGCCCTGGGTTCGAGCCTTAGCACCACACAAAAATAAATAAGATAAAGGCATTGTATCCGCCTACAACTAAAAAATATATTTAAAAAAAGAAGTCATGTAAGTAATGAGGAGAAAAATCTTTGGAAGATGGCAGACAGGGAGAGAGAGAAAAGAAGAAAATGAAGAATCTGAGCACAGACTGGTTAAGCAGCTTTCCTCAGGTCACACAGCAGAACCAGGCTGTGAAGCTCAAGCCCTGAATGTCCAGACGTCATTGCTGTGCCCTGATTGCCCCCCTGTGCCCTGTGGCCTCCCATGATGATGAATTCTTGACTTCTAGGGCTTTGATGAGGACAGAAAAGAAAAACCCACAAGAGCCTCACGACAAGGTTGCAGGCACTTGGTACTTGCTCAGTAAAATTGTAGCCACTATGTTTATTGTTATCCTCTTCCTTTATCATCACCCAGCGGGGAGCCTCAGCTGGACTGGCCTCAAGGCCAAAGCAGAAGGAGGGCAGGAGGCTGCGGAGCCTGCTTCCTCAGGAAGCGGGCGTGGGTTTGCCGGCTCTGGTTCTAGACCCTCACCCTGCCCCTGGCAGGCGGTCCTTCCTGAGAACTAACTTGAGTGTGGCCATCCGAGGCGGGGCGAGTCTGGTTCGTGGGCTTGGAGGCAGAGGTGGCCAAGTGGCCCTTCCGTGCTGCCTTGATGAATTCCCCAGACCTGGGCTGTGGCCGGCCCGCCCGGCGCAGCTGCCTCCCCACATACTTTCCCTCTGGATTCACCAGGCGCAGCGCTGGGCAGGAGAGCCAGCCGGGCGCCCGCGTGTCTCCTGGCCCAGCAGGCGTCGGCCAGGAGGGGCCCAGGGGCTCCATCAAACAGGCACCAGCCCTCGGCCCAGCCTGGCCCGGCTCCCAGAACTACTGGGCCTGGCCTGGTGGGAAGGGGACTGGCTCGGGCCAGCAGAGGCCCAGTCGGGAGGCGCTGCCAGGGCCACAGAACCTCCCAGCTCCTGAGGGGGTCGGGCCAGCGTTTTTAGTCTGGATTCTGTGACTGCCGCAGGGACTGGGTGTGTGAAGGGCTTGGGGTTCTTGTCTTCTCCTGTTTGAATTCTGGCTGTGTGACCTCAGGCCATGGCCTCTCCTCTCTGAGAGGTGCCACAATGTCCAAGTTCCATATCATGTAATCCTGGAGCTGGGCACGGGGCTTAAGGACTCCCATGAGGCAGTTCATTCCATCCCCTCAACATCACTACACCCATTTTACAGGTGAGGAAACTGAGGCACAGAAAGGGTAAGCGACTTGATCTTAGTCACACAGCAAGGCCATTCGGACAACACTTGGAACCAGGCTGTGAGCCTCCAAGTCCATCTTCACTACCGTATCAAGTACCGTGACGTCAGGGGTCCCTATTTTTTTCCAAATTTTAAAATTACTGCATTGCAAGTGTATCTAAGAATGGGATTTGTTGTTACATATCCGTGCTTATAGTCGTTACTGTTTTTAATAGTAAAAATGTGACATTATTTTAAGGAATAATAACTACTTATAGGGCTGCTCTCCTGGTTACCCAACCTTTTGGCCTCTCTGCACCCGCCCAGCCCCCCGGGAGCCCCAGGTGAGAGGGACGAAGCAAACCACAGACATTCCCAGTCGGGTCAGGGCTGGGCTAGGGGTCACCCACCCCAATGTTTTCAGCTGGGATGATCTGCCTGGGGTCTGAGGTGCTGCCAGGAGTGAGGGTCCCCGGGGAAGGGGCGGTCACAGCTGGCCTTGGAAGGAGCGGCAGAAACAGCAGGTCCAAGGTCATAAAGATGCCTGCAGTGGGCTTCTCTGTAGCGTGGGCTGGTGCCACGTGTGCCAAGGAGGGGCAGCTGCCTAGAAGGGGACTGTGGCCTGTCCTCTAGGACTCTGCTGTCTGCCTGGGTACCGGCTCATCCTCGAGACTCTGTTCCTGCGGTTCCCTCTTGTAACGCCCTTCCCTGCACCTTCGCATGGCCTGGTCATGGCCCAGGCCACGTGTGTCCAAGCCCCAGCCCCGTGCCTGGCTTGTGGCAGGGACCTGGCTTCCATGTGCGCTCGTCCCAGCCGCACGAGGCACACACAAGCCCACAGGTCCTGCTGGAGTCGTGGTTTTCCTGAGAATTCCAGTGCTGCCCGGGAGTGGCCCCCAGGTGTCTGGATGCCAAGGAAAACAGGAGGTGAGCTCATGGCCCCGGGCAGGAGCAGGCAGGCTGGGGGCCGGGTGCAGGCATGGGCTTCACTGGAGATGCCTGGGCTCGGCGGGCGGCTCCCAGCCAGCTTCCCCCTCCAGACAAGCCTTTCCTCTTTCACCCTCTGTGGCTCCCTATTGCCCCCGGAAGAAAAATGCCACTGGCACTGACCTCCTGGAGTCTCATCTGCTGCTTCTGCCTGAGCCCCGAGATCCCAGTACCCTGAGATCAGTACGTCCCGTAGCCAAGGCTCATGCCTGTCTCAGGAATAGCCTCTGCTGTTCCCTCTTCCTGGAACACCTTTCCACCCTCTCTTTATCTGGTACCGTCCTCTTCATCTATGTCCCAGCCTGGGTGTCTCATGAAGCCCCCCCCATCCCCCTCCCTTCTCCCACTGGGTCACCTCACCTCCCGGGGTGCTTCCCATCATAGCCCAGCCCCTCTGGATAGTGTAGTTATCTCCCCACTAACCTGGGCTCCCTAAAAGGGACAAGGCTGCATCTCCTCCTGTGTCCCCTAGCACAGGATGTGACCCACAATGACTGCTCCCTGCACATTAGTGGAATGAATGAATGTGCCTAGAAATGTCCCCACCCTCAAGCCCCCCAAGCTTCTCCCCACTAGAGCTGCCCTCTCGTCTCCCCTCTGCTGATCGGAGTCCTTTTCCTTTTTGAGACAGGGTCTTGCTAAGTTGCAGAGGCTGGCCTTGAACTTGTGATCTTCCTGCCTCAGCCTCCTGAGTAGCAGGGATTACTGAAGAGCGCCACAGCACCCAACCTCACTTTCCTTTTTGTCCCCTTGCCTCCACCTTGAGGAAGCCCTCGGTGACTCTCTGTAACCTCCCTTGTGAACAGATCTGGCTAAGACCCACTTCACCTCCTCCCTCTTCCCCTTCCTGGACCTCAGTTTCCCTGTCTGTAGACTACAGGCTGTGAGTCCTGGAAGGCTGGGGTGGATAGGGTTAACGGACTCCAGGAAGTCAAGGTGTTTTATAGCTCAAGAGTGTAGCTAGACACCGAGGAGAGATTTTCCCCATGAGCCGTCATTTTTATTTTTATTATGGACAGTTCCCACAGCGACTAGGAGAAACTTGGAAGGTATGGCGCAGCCTCCACAAACAGAAGCCCCAGACTCCCCCTCGGATCTCCTCCAACAGGAGCTCTTGAGGGGTAGTTCACACCCTGGCTGGGGACTGACGCACACACACCCCCACCCACGGTACAGACTGAGAAACTGAACACCGTCCTGGGCAGTCAGGCGTCCAGCACCAGCAGCCAAGAACCACAGGGAGAGCGAACACCTTGCAACCCTCCAGGGTGGGAGGCCAGGAGCTGCCCAGATGGCATCTCCCCTGCTCCTGCCCCGTTTTCCAGTACTGATGATAACAGTTCAGGATGGCACACATCACCTCCCTTGTACCAGGAAAGAAACGCACAGAGAGACCTTATTTATTGTCTGTGTTTTCTTTCTTCTTCTTCTTTTCTTTCTGTGCTGAGCATGGTCCCCAGGGCCTCACTGAGCTGAGCTCTACCCTGGCCCCATTTGCGGGATTTTGAAGCAAGTGAGGAGGGAGCAGGGGACCAGCCCTTCTCATCCAAAGTGGGTGTGTCCTCACCTTCTCAAACCCTCAGGGCAGCGGTGGAGACTTGTTCCCAGCTCTACCCCAGGCTTGTATGCAGCAGGCACTCAATAAATAGTGAGAGGGAATGCAGGGCTGGGGGAGGGGGGGTGGTTTCACTGATTCCCCCCCAAGTCATCCCTCTCCACAGACCTCCAATTGCCCCACTGTGTCCTGATTCAGCCGCCGGCAGCTCTGCTGGGCAAATCGGGTGAGGCCTTGAACGCAAAGCCCAGCGCCATCTGTTTACCTTGCGGCTGGAGCTGGGCAGGGCCGCGGTGGGCCGTCCCCGGGGCCGGCCACTCCGCTGGGATAAAAAGGCCCCGCGGGCCTCGTGGGCGGCAGAGAGTGAACAGCCGTCCAGCATCCCGCCGCAGCCATGGCCCCTGGCACCGCCTGTGTTCTCCTACTCACCCTGTGGGCCCTCCGCGTGTCCGGCCAGGGCCAGATTCCTCTAGGTAAGACACGCTGGCCTCAAGAGCCATGTCCCCCCATCGGCAGGAGGACCTTTGAAAGGCTTGCAGTTCCAGCTTCTTGAGGCTCGGGACTGTTCGCTGGGGCGCGCAGGGCTGAGAAAGCAGGCTGTGGATCCCGAAGGAAGGGATGGGATTGTGGGATCCCCAGATCCCGAAGCCCACCAGCACCCCCTGAAAACACAGGCGGAGACCTTGCCCCGCAGATGCTGCGCGAGCTGCAGGAGACCAACGCTGCGCTGCAGGACGTGCTCGAGCTGTTGCGGCAGCAGGTGAGGCGCGCGAGGAGACAGCAATGGGGAAGGAGGTGGGAGGGGGTCTCGAGGGTAGGAGAGCAGGGGGGAGGGGAGACAGGAGGAGGGAGTCCTGGGCGAGGAAGTGTGTGGAAAGGAAGAGGGAAAGAGGGGTCACGGAGATAGGGGCTCCAAGGAAGGAGGAGGCAGTCTAGGGGAGGGACAGGGAAACCGGGAGGGTAGGGAGTCTAGGGGTCGGGAGCCCTAGAAGAGAGCGTCTAGGGGAGTGGGACGGTCTGTGAACAGGGAGTCCGGGGGATGGCAAGGGGAGGCCAAGGGAGGAGAGGGAGGGGGCTCCACTGATCTTCCCACCCCACGTCCTGCAGGTCAAGGAGATCACATTCCTGAAAAACACCGTGATGGAGTGTGACGCGTGCGGTGAGCGCGGCTGGGGCGGCAGAGACGCGGGCGGGCGGGAGAGAGAGGAGAGATGGGGAGACAGAGAACGAGAGAAAGTCAGAGAAAGAAAGATACAGGAAGATGGGTGCTGGCAGAAATAGGGAGATCGGATGAGAGACGAAGAGAGACCAAGAGGGAGGGGGGACAGGGAGACCGAGCGTGCTGCGAGAGATGCAGGGAGATGGAGGAGCGGAGAGGAGAGGCAGAAAAGAGCACAGCGCAGAGTCCACGAAAGGAAAGACACCGCGCGCAGCCCAAGGCGGGATCCGGAGCTTGCGGGACCTCGCCCCGCCTCCAGGGGCCTGCGTTCAGCCCCGGGGCGTGACCCTGACCAGCCCCGCCCCCTCCCCCGCAGGGATGCAGCCTGCGCGCACGCCGGGCCTGAGCGTGCGGCCCTTGTCCTACTGCGCGGCTGGCTCCTGCTTCCCTGGCGTGGCCTGCACTGAGACCGCGAGTGGCGCGCGCTGTGGCCCCTGCCCCGCGGGCTTCACCGGCAACGGTTCGCACTGCACCGACGTTAATGAGGTGCGCGGGCTCCCGAACCCCGCCGCCCTGACGATCCCTCCACCACCCACCCAACAATCTCCCACCACCCCAACGACCCCCTCCTCCACTGGAGGTGCTCTCCCAGACGAGCCTCTCACAGTTGAGGACACAAGCCAAAACGACCTCCTCACTGTCCGGGGACCTCCACCCAGATCACGCTCGTTATCACCGGAGACGCCCGCCCTGATCACCCCCTCCACCGCTAGTGACACTGACCTCGACGACTCTCTCACCGCCGGGCGAGGTCCTCCCCAACAACCCTCCTCACCACCTGGGGTCGACCGCCCCGGCCACTTTTCTATGACAGAGGAGCGCCATTTTCAACGACCCCACCGTCGTCGGGCACGCAGGCCCCGGCGACCACTCCCTCCCTCCGCTGGGGATGCCCGTCCCCCAAACTCCTCTCCTCGGCCATGAGGGAGCAGCCCCCTTCTTTCGTGGTCGCGTTTTCCCATCAGGGCAAAGTCGTGTGTGACTCCTGGAATGGTTGCCTTCGTCCCACGTGGCACCCTGCTCCCAGGGCTGGCTGACGGTTCTTAAATTTTCCAAATCCGGGAAACCCGGAGGTGTGGCTCTCAGGGTCCAGCTCCACATTTTCTGACCCCGCTGTGGCTCCTTCTCCCTCAGTGCAACGCCCACCCCTGCTTTCCCCGCGTCCGCTGCATCAACACCAGCCCGGGGTTCCGCTGCGAGGCTTGTCCCCCGGGGTACAGCGGCCCCACCCACGAAGGCGTGGGACTGGCCTTCGCCAAGGCCAACAAGCAGGTGAGGGGCGTAGGGGCTCGGCTTTGGCAGCAGAAGGGAAGTGGGGAAGCATTTTGTGCAGTCAACTCGTCCTCCAGCCTCGCTCTAGCGGGAGGATGAAGGGGCTTCCGCGGTAGATCCGATTCCGATTGCCCTGCCGGGTAGGATGGGAGGAATGGCAAGGCCAGGTGTGGAAGAGGCGAGGACCGGGTGAGAATGGCGGGATGGGTATGCGAGTGGGAGGGTGACCTCTGCGTCCCCCCTCCCCTAGGTTTGCACGGATATTAATGAGTGTGAGACCGGGCAGCATAACTGCGTTCCCAACTCGGTGTGCATCAACACCCGGGTAAGGCCGGCGCGGGGAGGGCGGAAGGATTGCGCCCAGGGGAGCAGGGCAGGGGTGAGGGCCCGCGCTGACTGTCCCGGGCATGGGCGCAGGGCTCCTTCCAGTGTGGCCCGTGCCAGCCCGGCTTCGTAGGCGATCAGGCATCTGGCTGCCGGCGGCGCGCGCAACGTTTCTGCCCTGACGGATCGCCCAGCCCTTGCCACGAAAAGGCTGATTGTGTCCTGGAGCGCGACGGCTCCCGGTCCTGCGTGGTGAGTTGCAGGAACTCAGGGGGCGGCAGAGGGGTCGAGGGTACGGTTACATCAGGTCACCCACCGACTCCCCTCTACAGTGTGCAGTCGGCTGGGCTGGCAACGGACTCCTCTGTGGCCGGGACACTGACCTGGACGGCTTCCCGGACGAAAAACTGCGCTGCTCCGAGCGCCAATGCCGCAAGGTGGGCGGGGTCGTCAAGGGGCGTGACCGAGCGGGAGTGGGGTCTGGACAGGGTTACATGGTCAAGCCACTCATGCCTGCCGTGACCACCCTCAGGACAACTGCGTGACGGTGCCCAACTCAGGGCAGGAGGACGTGGATCGCGATGGCATAGGAGACGCCTGCGACCCTGATGCCGATGGTGACGGGGTCCGCAACGAAGAGGTGAGGCCATGAGGGGACCAAGGTTGGACTGGGCTTTCGGTCTGGGGTGAAAAGGGTTCCCTGAAGAGGAGGCAGGACCTCAGAGATGAGCAAGAATGGGAAATGATTTTACCTTTCCCAGCCTGACTCTCCTTAACTGGCCCTTTCCCCCAGGACAACTGCCCCCTGGTGCGGAACGCAGACCAACGCAACTCGGACAACGATAAGTGGGGTGATGCGTGCGACAACTGCCGGTCCCAGAAGAATGACGACCAGAAGGACACAGACCAGGATGGTCGGGGCGACGCCTGCGACGACGACATCGATGGAGACCGTGAGCAAGCAGGCTGGGGAGATGAGCGGCCAGCTCCGGGGCGGGGCTTGATGGATCTTGGAAACTGGATGGTGTGAACTCGCCTAGGTCGCCCTAGACCAAGGCCCGTGCTCCCGCGGGCAGAAAAATGCAAGCCGGGCCTTGAGGCAGGAGGCAGGACTGGGGCAACGTTCCTAGGAGTGGGTGGTGGACTTTGTGTTAGATGCTGCAGACGCCAAAGATGACATTTTTACAGACAGGGACATAGAGGTTTGGGGTGGCATTCACAAGGTACCCAGTTTAGCTGGGAGGGAGAACCATCCACGGAGCTGGGGCTGTGTTCCAGGCTAGCATCAGCCTTGGTCTTTGTCCTAATGAAGTCATCTGACCCCGCCCCAATCTTGGGACTTGTGCCTGGATTCCTGCAGGGATCCGAAACTCAGCAGACAACTGTCCCAGGGTGCCCAACTCAGACCAGAAGGACAGTGACGGTGATGGTGTAGGGGATGCCTGTGATAACTGCCCTCAGAAGGACAACCCAGACCAGGTGAGAGCAGGCCAGATCCCAGCTGGGTCAGTGCCCTGGGGTGAGCCCCAGGCTGGGTTACCAAGACCACAGCTTAGAGGATCCTGCCTGCCAGACAAGGGCCTCCCACGGTCCAAGTGGCCTGGCCTTGGGGGTTTCCTTGGGGTCAGGAGGAGCTTGGCTGCAGAGGGAGTGCAGAGGGAGGCTTCTGAGATCCTCTCTCCTGATTGTGAACCCTGATCCTTACCTCCTCCCCAGAGGGATGTGGACCATGATTTTGTAGGTGATGCTTGTGACAGCGACCAAGACCAGTAAGGAGGCCACCTAGGGTGGGTGTGTGGGACACCCGGCCAATCCTCTGAGCTTCCCACCTTTATTGAACTTACCCTCTTTAGGGATGGGGACGGACACCAAGACTCCCGGGACAACTGCCCCACAGTGCCCAACAGTGCCCAGCAAGATTCAGACCACGACGGTCAGGGTGACGCCTGTGATGACGATGATGACAATGATGGAGTCCCTGATAGTAGGGACAACTGTCGCCTGGTACCCAACCCACGCCAGGAGGATGCAGACAGTATGACAGGGGTGACAGGGGTGGGCCGGTATTGGTGGGGGTGAGGTGGCCTGGAATGGGTGTGGCCCCCACCTGTGGCAGAGCCTGAAGCTGAACCCACGTGGAGGGATTGTCTCAGTTCCTATCTCCTCTCAGGGGACGGCGTGGGTGACGCGTGCCAGGGTGATTTCGACGCGGACAAGGTGGTAGACAAGATTGATGTGTGTCCGGAGAACGCCGAGGTCACCCTCACGGACTTCCGGGCCTTCCAGACTGTTGTGCTGGACCCCGAGGGCGACGCTCAAATTGACCCCAACTGGGTGGTGCTCAACCAGGTGAGGGCAAGGCCAGATAATGGTGGTTTTGGGAGAGCAGGACCCCCTCAGCAGGGCCTAAGCGGGGGACGGGAAGCCTAGAGGCCCTGGTGGCCGACCTGAGGCCCTTCTTCCTAATCAGGGGATGGAAATCGTGCAGACGATGAACAGCGACCCAGGCCTGGCTGTGGGTAAGAGGCCGGGGGAGCTGGGCGGAGCCGGCTCGGAGGCGGGGCCGCAGGGGGCGGGGCCGTGGCCAAGTCAGGCCTGAAGCCGGGAAGGGCGGGGCCGTGAGCGTTCTGGGCTCCGGAGGGGCGTGGTCAGTGGTAGTTTAGGGCGTGGTCTGGGCTCCGGGGCTAGGTCTGGACTCCTGAAGGGGCAGATTCCAGGGGGCGGGCTGCGCTCTGGTGAGCACCCAAGACTGGGGCTATGAAAGCCCGAAACCCCCTTCCCTTTGTCAGGATACACGGCCTTCAATGGCGTGGACTTCGAGGGCACCTTCCACGTGAACACAGCCACGGATGACGACTACGCGGGTTTCATCTTCGGTTACCAGGACAGCTCGAGTTTCTACGTGGTCATGTGGAAACAGATGGAACAAACGTACTGGCAGGCGAACCCCTTCCGTGCTGTGGCCGAGCCTGGCATCCAGCTCAAGGTCCTGCACACTCCCGCAGACCCCCGCAAAAGCCTTTACACACCCACAGCCCCCTGAGCATCACTCTGCAGAATTCCAAGCTCTCACTCCACCTAGGTAGCCAAAGGCCCCAATCTTGCTTCCTCCCACAAGCCCTCAAGCACTGCCCCAGGGTCCCCCCAACCTGCCTTTGCCCCTAATGCCTATCACAGGGCCCTGTTTTTCTGAGTCCCCCAAATTTTCTGCAGACTCCCTTAGACCCAGATATATTGCTGAAACCTTCTAGCAAATCCCCCCAATTCTGTAGATTTCAGTTTACCCTACAGGCACCCAAGTCCTGCAGGTCATCTATCCTCCCCAAATCCTCCCAGACCTCCAATCTGTTCAAGACTCCCAGATCCTCTCAGGAGACCCCATGACTGCCCCTCATGATCCACCCCTGAGCCCCCATTTGGCCCCCAAGAAAGCTTCCTTGTGGGTCTGTCATCCCAACAAGGGCCTCCTACTATGACCCACAGCTCTGTCCTTCCAGGCTAGGATCCAGGTTTCCCCAAACCCCTGAAGTCTCTGAACCCCTTTCTCTGGACAATGGCAGGCTGTGAAGTCCTCCACGGGCCCCGGGGAGCAGTTACGGAACGCGTTGTGGCACACAGGGGACACAGAGTCCCAGGTGCGGCTGCTGTGGAAGGACCCCCGCAACGTGGGCTGGAAGGACAAGACGTCCTACCGCTGGTTCCTGCAGCACCGGCCTCAAGTGGGCTACATCAGGTGGGGCCCCCACCTCCACCAGTGAGCAGGGCCAGGCAGGGACACTCAGGCCCAGCTGGGAGTCCCTCAGCTGCAGGGGGAAAGGGGCTCCTGGGGCCTTGTCCCCTTGTCTGTAAAATGGGAATATGGGGCAGGCAGAAGCAGCGCGCAGTGGGTCTCCAGTTAGAAGAACCCTTTGACCCTCATTCCACGATGCTAGGATGCCCGGGTGCATCACTCAGCCCTGGCTGTGGGCAGGGCCCCTTCGTGTCCATTCCAACACAGGCAAAGAGGTGCTGGCTGTGGCCTGACTCACTCTCCCACCTGCAGGGTGAGGTTCTACGAGGGGCCCGAGCTGGTGGCTGACAGCAACGTGGTCTTGGATACAACCATGAGGGGCGGCCGCCTGGGGGTCTTCTGCTTCTCCCAGGAGAACATCATCTGGGCCAACCTGCGCTACCGCTGCAACGGTGAGCTGGGGACCCCGGAGGGAGGGCAGGGAATCTGCCCAAAGGCCTTGCAAGGCCTCTCACCCGCTGGCCCTCTCTTGCAGACACCATCCCTGAAGACTATGAGACCCAGCGGCTGCAGCGGGCCTAGGGAACCCGGAACCCACTGTAGGACGTTGGCTGCCCTTACCATGGGGGGATGGGGGCCGAGGGAGGCCCCAGCCCAGAGGGGAAGGGAGAGGGTCAGAGAGGCGAATAAAGCTCGTGTGCGGGGGGAGTGCCAAGTGTGGTCTTTGCTGCAAGGGGACAGTGTAACTGGGCCTCTGAGGGGCCCACCTATCTGCTGGGGACTATCCAGTCCTGGTTTGGGGAGGTTCCTAGGTCTGCCACGTGTCCCAGTCACTCAGCCATGATGAAGCTGGGACCCCTCCACTGGAGTGTCTGCTGGAGGATTCTAGGGGGCTGGTCTGTCCCCTGCAAGTTTGAGGATCCCTCCTCAGGTGCCGACAGGGGTGTGTGGGGCACTCATGCCCGTGTGTCTGTCTGTGTGCCTGTGGCCATTCATGGAGAGAGGGTCAGGGGCCTTTGCCATCCCCGAGGGAGGGAGACAGGGTAGGAAAACACGGGAAGAGACAGAGACGAAAACATTGGATTTTTATTCCATTTCATTACAAAGGATGCAAAGATACAAAGACAAAAGCGTCCGCGCCGGAGGGCGGGCAGGGGCAGCCGAGTGTGCCCTGAGCGCCCGCCCCACCTGCCTGCCACAGCGCCCGCGCAGGCCCACAGGACATCCGCAGTGGAGTGTACATGCTGGGGGACAGAGCCAGCCTGGGCACAGAGGGGCACGGGCGGGGCGGGGCTTGGACCAGCAGGTTTGCATATATCAATGGGGCTGCCCAGCCCCTGGGGGGCAGTTCCTAGTGGGGGCAAGGCAGGGCCTGTGGACCTGGGCTGCCAAAGCCCAGTCTCCGGGGTGTGGTGCGAGGCCATGGCTATGTCCCCATGTTCCCAGTGGGCAGGAGGTCAGGAGTGCTTGACCAGCTGGGCTAGGCAAGGCCGAACATGGATTGATCCCAAATCCAGAACCCTGTGAGACAACCCCCACCCCTGACACGGGCCACGCGGAGAAAGGTGGATGGAGCCATCTGGAACCAGCACCATCCCAAGGCCAGCCTCTGCCCCCGACCCTGGTCAGGGAGCCGGGGGCCCTGAGACCTTCGGGTTTGGAAAGTGACAGGAGGGAAACTGAGGCTCAGGCCCCATGGGGCTCACTCCTGACCCCGTGCCCTTGGGAGTAGCCTCGCACCCAGGCCTGGGATGCAGGTCACCCACCTCCTGTCCCTGGATGACAAAGGTAGAAGGGACACTCATACCACATGGAGGGCTCTGAGTGGTACCTGAGCCCTGGCTGGCCAGAACTCCTTGGAAAGAACCCAAGGACATGGTTGGCTCAGGCCAAACTGACTGGGCACGACCTGAGGGGGGGGGGGATGTCCCAGGGACACCAAGTCAAATGCCAGAAGACCCCTGTAGGAATGGGGACTCAGGGGCCAAGGAGAATGCGGCTTAAAGGGACCCTGCTGCCTCCGCACCCCAAGCATCCTCAGTGGTTTGTAAAGGACTGAGTCTTCCCCAAGCTCTCCAGGCCATGTGGGGAGGGCTCCAGGAGCCATGGTCCCCTCACCTGGAGTGTCACCTAGCAGGGTGACAATGCACCAGGCTCAAGGGTACCTCCTATCATTGGCGTTGGGGACCCTGGTGCTGAGGGACCCTCATCCCACCCCCACAATGAGGACCCTGTGACCTCTGGCCACCAGCTGCATCAGGAACCACTGGAGAGCGTGGAGGCCCAGTACCACCCGGCCTCACCACGCCCAGCTGGCCAGGCGCTCGAGGCCTTCTTTGGAAATACAGAAAACCGGGAGCCAGGTCAGGTGGGGATTTGGAAGAGTGTTTGGTTTGGACCAACTGAGGACCCACCAAGACAGGAGGGCTGGGGGTCTCCGAGCCCCCCTAGGGACAGGCACTGACACAGGGTGGCTGCCCAGCTGTCTGGCCCTGCCTATCCCTCCCTGGGCTGTGCCCCCGAGTGGCTGTAGGCAGCTGCTGGCCACACAGCCCTGGCTGTGACGTCCCACACCCATCTGAAGGCCACTGGCCACCATTCCATGCCCCACCATGAAACACGGGCCTCAGTACGGGACCCTGCTATGTCCTCCAGAGAGCTGGACCACCTGGAGAAATCACACCATGTCAGAATTCTCCTCCACAGCACTGAAAAGCCACAAGAAGGTGGCACCAGAGAGGAGTGTCCCAGGTGGGGCCCTGTGGAGCAAAACGCCCGGAGCACAAAGGAGCTGACCCAGGGGCTCCGGCCTCTGAGCCTTGTGAGGGAGCAAATGCACCCCCCTGGGACCCAGAGGGTGGGGGTAGAAGAGGTGGTGGGGACGTGGTGTTCTCAGAAGCCCCCCATCTTGCTTCTGCCCTGAGGGAGGATCTGCAAAGCGGAGGGACCTGGCCAAAGCCGGGAGTACATGGGTAGGGCTGGGGGAACGGCTGGCCTGGCCCTGCCTCTGACCCGGCAAGGGCCGAGTATCCAAGCCTGTCCCAAACGAGGACACGAGCAGTGGGGCTATATACATGCTGCAGGGGCCCCTGGCCTGGCCCTCCTGGTGCAGCGCATCTGAAATCACAGTATTTTCACGTCACAAAGCACAGGGCTGGTTCCCTTAAACTGTCTTGTTTTAGAAAGTCTTGGCAATTCAGGAATATTTAGTAGAGAAGTGACATCTAAAAAAAGACCCCCACAAAATCCCGTTACAGAGCCCAGGTGGCCTGCCCAGGTGCAGAGGGGGTGAGCGTTTCCAGAACACGGGGACGCCTGGCTGCTGGCTCCCAGCTGGCCCTGAGAACGAACAAGGCCCCGCACCTTCGCAGGAAGCCCTGACCTTGATCCACCTCATTCCCACTGGAAAAAGAATTTGGCGATAAGCCAAGGCCACTGCATTAATACAATGTCACCTGTGGTCCTGGCTGTGGGACACTGGAGACGGGCCAAAAACCTGGGATGCTCAGAGGGCACTGTCCCTCCTCTCTCACCTGTCTGCACCAAGAGCCTGAAAGAGCAGTGGCGGTGGCATTGGCCAGTGGCTCGATGGACAGTTGTGGCGGCCCATGAGGCTCCTTTGTGAGGTCCCCAACGCCTTATTTGAAAACTGTGCCCAGGCAGGTTGTGTGGGATTTTATTAAGGCCATTTTTTAAAGTTCTACATACAAGTCTAATGTAACCAAAGCCTCCCGTGTACAGTTTTTCTTAAAAAAAAAAAAATGTCCCCACTTTTTGCTTCCGGCCTCCATCCCAGCAGCAGAATGGGCTGTGACCTGGACACCGTCTAATGCTGTGCTCCTCAAGCCCAGGGTGATGGACAGCAGCAGGTGCACAGTGACCCAGGAGGTCAGTGGCCACCTGGCTGCTTGGCCATGTGCTAACAGTGTCACTGGGAAGGAGAGGGAGGGACAGTGCTAGTATCAAATGCAGCTCCGGAGGACAGAATAAGGGCTCCTGTGACCTGGCGGAGGTGGCAGCTGCGACACCACAAAGAAACGCACCCAGCAGAAGGTGCCAGCCTGGTGGGCAGAGGCGCAGGCGAGGGCGTCAAGGTGCGACCCAGAGGAAAAACCCAGAGTGTCACATCCCAGAGCGGGAGACAGAAAACAGCTGTGCCACTGCCTGTCACAGGGCCTGTGGTGGCAGTGTCTGAGGCCACTCCGGGTGCCCCACTGCAACCTTGGCCTCCAGAGGCACTTCTTAAAGCACCTGGAAACCTGCCACTAAAACACATGCTGCCCTTTGCCTCCAAGTCCCCTCGGCCCTGGCTGAGGCACCAAAAACTGGTGGCTGGGACACAAGGCCCATCAGAGGCCTGGACCGGGAACCAGAGAGGGCAGGGTGCAGGAGACGAAAGGCCAGCTCTGCCCTGGCTTTCAGAGGTCCACTCTTTCCCACTGGTCCTGATGCCCTCAGCGCAGAGGCCCCAGTCATGGGGTCTTCAAGGTGAGGCTTGGGGACACACTGGGGAGCAGCAGGCAGAGTCAGTTCTTACAGAGACCCTCCCATAAAACGGGCTACGTCCCAAAAGTCTGCTTTATGCACCAACAGCGGCCTCTTTAGCCATCACGAGCTTCTGACAGGCGGGGCCTTAGGTGGCCTCTTGGTGGCCGCAAAACTAAGAAAGTCCGAGGTTCGGGCTTGGGCCTGTGGGCGGCCACTGCTCCTAGGTTTATCAGCCCACGTTTCCAGTTAGCTTAAAAATGGGGAACACAGGATTCTGGGATTATAAAATCATGCTCTCAGGCAAGTGTTGGCTGGAAAGATTCAGCTACTCGTCTACAACCAAATGTAAATACAAACCAAAGAAGAAAAAAAAATCACGACAGAGATTCCCTGGCCACCTACCCGCCCGACCCCCCACGCCTTAGTAACAGTATGTACCTCTAACATGACCACAGGACAGGGCGAGGGAGATAAAGACCCCAGGTCATCCCTGCCCGGGGCAGCTGTGGTCTGCTTCAGCCTGTCGGGACATCTCGGGACAGAAGGCCCTGGCTGGGCTGAAGGGGTGGGAGGGCGAGAGGGCGTGGGCCGCTCCGCATGCTGGGTCACACCTAACGTTCGCCCGGTGCTTTTGAGTGTGCTCAGAAAATAGAAGACGGCCATCAAAATAGTGTTTATTTCACTCTGCCTGTCCCTCCTCTGGCACCTTCTGCCTCGGCAGGTGGGGCCGCTGTCTACCTGATCGTGGGCTGGGGATGGCGGGTCGCGGGGACGGGATGAAGAAAGGCAGTGAGAGCTCATCAACAGTCGGAAAGTGCACCTCAGCCCAGACACCCACCCCAAGCCTCCTGACACCCCACTCTCAGCATCCTGTGGGGGGCTCGCGCCCGGCCCCGGGGTAGGAGAGGAACGAGCGCAGGGAGGGTCTGCAGGAGTGAGGACTCACAGCCTCTGACCCCGCCTGGCCCCAGGCGGACGGACGGAGGGCCCGGCTCGGCCCCGCCGGGCTTCAGCGGGAGGTGAACAACCGGGGGCGGGCTGGTGGGGGCGCCGGGCGGCATTGCAAGCTCAGAATCACAAGCTCGGCCGTTTGCGAGGGACGGAGTGTGGCCGCCCCCAGGCTTGGAGGGACGCCGTCGGAGACCACGGACCGGCGGCACTATGCCAGGCATGGCCGCTCACAGACGGTCCATCCGGAAGGTGTCCTCAGTGGCCGGGTCAGCGAGGACCATGTCAGGGTCATTGAGCATGTGCAGTCCGTCGAGGGTCAGGGGGTCGATCTTGAGTTCATCCAGGGGGAACTGGTTGTCAGCGTCGAAGCTGACATCGCTGACCCCGGCCAGAGTGCTGGTCAGTTCTTTAGAGAGGCTAGGAGGGGACTCTCCTGTCACTAGGAGAGACAAATAGTACAGCTCAGCCTGGCCTCCCTGGCTCCCACCCTCCAGCAATGTCAGACCTGCCCTCCAGGGAACACTGCCAAGGTCTGGAGACATTCTGGTTGTCACAACTGAGGGAAGTGACACTGCTGGCATCTGGTGGGTGGAGGCACAGGAAAGTACCCACCTCAAAGAATGACCCGACACTAGATGTCAGCAGTGCCCTGGGGCTGAAGCCCCAAGGGCCATGAGAGGCAGGCTGGGTGCAGGCATGAAGGGCACTTGTCCCCAATGGGCCCAGCTGCTGCCCAGAAAGGAACCTGGCTCCTCCCTCTACTGCCCTGGGGGAGGTGCTGCGCCTGTTTGCAGAGCTGGGACGTGGGCTTCAGAGTCCCCGTCTCCCTGGGCAGCCGCGCCATCAGAGAGCAGCCCTGTCTTGGGAGTCCCTGGTCTCTGTCCCTGGGCGTCCACCTCTGCCCACTGCCTGACCCAGGGCAGGATTCCCACAAAAGGCACCAGGGGCTCTGAATGTGACCTCCCGTATCCTAGAGGTGCCAGTGGGGACATCCCCAGCAGCCCTGGTGAAGACGGGGGTGGGGGTGGCCACTGAATGCCTGGGTTTTGTGCTGGGTGATTTCATCCGTGCCGTGCAGGATGGGGCTGCGTGTCCCCTAGGTACCTGGGCAGCGCGTTCCTGACTGGCTTTGCACTGAGTGCTGGATGCCTGTCCCAGGGCCTAGGTATCTCCTTGGCCCGTCCTGCCCAGGAACGGGTGGAGTTCAAGGTGCGGGAGGGATCTGGCCTCCTCGGGGCCCTGTCCCGCTGAACCCTGGGCTGAGGGCAGGGAGGCAGCCCAGCTCAGTCTCCTGCTGGAGCTGAGCCTCTCCCAGCGGCCACGCTGCCCCTGGGCACAGGGAAGCCCCACCTAGGCTCCTGGGCACTGGGCCTGTGACGGGGCTGGCAGCCTCACCTGTGAGGATGATGTTGGGGATGCCGCTGTGGCTGGAGTAGCCGAGCTGCTGCGTGTCCTGCAGGCTCCCGTGGCTGCTCGTGAGGCCCATCATGGCCGCCTGCGAGTAGTTGAGTGTGGAGCCGGAGCCGTAGAGGCTGCTGGAGCTGATGGCGTTCTCCATCATGTTGAACTGCTCCAGCTGGCAAGGCAAGCGCGCCAGGCCGTGAGGACCACCCAGGGCTCCCGGCTGCCACCTGCGGCCCCAGGATGCCCCTGCAGGGGGCCTGGCATCCAAAGCTGCTGAGCGTGAGCCCCCAGGCCCCGGGCCTCCCTGGCACTCAAGATGGATGGATAGATGGATGGACGGATGAGCAAGTGAGTGCTCCAGGCCCCGGCCACACCTCCTCTGCCCCGGCCTCCACGCAAAGCCAGCGCAGCCTCCCGGCAACCCACGTGCACGGCCCACGCCAAGGCACTGCTCTGACAGCCGCTGCCCTGTCCCCGCCTGGTCGAGGCCTGCCCTTCCTCCCCCTCTACCTTCGGAATCCATTCTGCCAGCCAGACAGAGGTCCGGGAGGCCAGGCCAAGCCACCTCTGCTGGGGCCTTGGCCTCCACAGCTCAAAGACAGGACAGGGACTGAGGAGCGAAGCCAAGGGGTGGGCAGGGTCCCCTGAGTGCGTGCGGCCCTGCCCCCAAGGTCTGGGTCCTGGCGAGCATGTGCTGTGAGCACCGGCCGGCGGCCTGGGCGCCCCCTCACCTGGCGGGACAGAGCATTGGCCTGCCTGGCTGCCATCTGCTGCTCATAGTATGAGTCCCCAAACACGCTGCCCAAGGCGGACGAGTGCTGCAGACAGAAGAGAGGCCTGCTGTGGTCACGGCCCCCAAGACCGGGCAGGGGTGGACCAGGGCCCATCAGGACTGGCGCTCCCAGGCCCTGGCTGGACAGGGAGAAAGGCCCCCGGAGCTCCCTGGGACGCAGAAGGCTGATGACTTTTATCTTGGGGTCCGTGGGTGCGCCCCAGTCCTGGATGACTGCTTCCTTCCACCTGGGGTGTCTGCACCCTGATACCCTCCAAGGCACCGCCCCTAACTCCCCTTGAGTCGGGTGTGGAGACCCCACTTCCGTCAGAGAGAAGGTGGGGCTGCCAGATGAGAGGCCTGGAAGCCTCAGAGGTGACCTGGGAGAGGGGCCAAGACAGAAGGTGCCTGGACGTTACATTCACGACAGAACGTGCACTGGGGAACCCGATGGGCCCCCAGGAAGACAGGAGACAGGCCACACATACTTGGACAGGACGATGCACAGAGCTGGCCACTGGCCAAGTGAGCACAGACGGGAGCAGAGAGGCCTGAGGCCCGCACGGGGAGGCCACCTGCTGCGTCCCGTCTCAGCCAGACGTGCTCAGAGGAAGGGGCACGGGCTGTCCCTGGGAGAGGAGGAGGGGACGAGGGGACTCATGGGTGGTGGGAATGCTGTAAAGGTGCGCTTGGAGCCTACACCAAAGAGACAGGGGACAGAGCCTAGCTGGGCTGTGCAAGTGGCCAAGTCACATCCCAAGCCCCTGATGAATAAGGCCTAGAAAAGAGCCCCAGAGTGACCTTGAAGCCACCAGAGGCCCAGCAGCACCCCAAGGCTGGGAACTCCAGCCTGCTTCTACCTGTGCAGGACCGGGTGCCCAGCACACCACGTCTCAGAGACCATCTCCACAGACCAAATGCCCTGGCCCCCTGGCCCTTGGGAAGACCCCAGGTGCTAGGACAACTCAACGCTTCAATCTGGGTTGACAGCAAACCCTTAGCCCCCTGGGGTCAGTGGACCAAGAGTAGAAGGGACAGATGCCCACTCTGACTGGAGTCACAGTGACGGATGAGCCATCGAAGGCCAGCGAGGAGTTAAAGAGGGGGACTGAGGAAGAGAACAAAGTGGCAAATCCCCGAAGCCCAGAGTCCACAGCTTTGAGCTGGGGTGAGCCCGAGGTAGAGGCCCCTGGCGCACCCACGGCCGGGCGCCTTCGCCAGCGCAGCCCAGACACAACCACCCACTTCAGGCTTTGCCAAGGGGCTGCAGGGCCGTGGCTGGTGCCGCCCAGTGAGAAGGAAGCGGAGAGTGCGGGCTTCACCCAGCTGGCGAGGCTGGGGGCAGGTGCTGGGAGGGACTGGGCTTCTGAGATGATGCCCGATCCTGTCCCTGTGGCCCTGGCCCTGACCCACAGGGGCACTGATGGCCAAGGTGTCTCTTATGAGGCTGCCCTGAGGGTGGCCAGGACGTCAGCTCGGGAGTGGCCTGGGGCCGGGCCTGACTGGGACAGATGCAATGGCCAACTGAGGACAGAGGTGGCAGGTGTGGGCCGGGCAGGGTGGGGCAGGCTGGGGTGGCCCAGGCCCAGGGGTCTGATGAGCGCATCTGTGGAGACCCAGCCGCAGCCAGAAAACCAGGTGTGGTCTCTGCCCAGCACCTTCTGCTTCTGGGGGAGCCCCAGGCCACTTCGCCTCGAGCCCCCGCTGCCCACACCAGTACACAGCAGACGAGCAGGCGGCCGAGCCAGCGGCACACTCTCACCCAGCCAGACCACAGCGCTTTGGTTGGTGGCAAAGAATGAAGTGACCCTCAGCGGACTCCCTCCAGGGAGAAGCTCTCCTGCCCCGCCCAGCACATGGGGGCCCCACCTGAATGGCATCTCTAGGCCCTCCCCACAGCAGCGCCGCGTGACGAGACCAGATGTGTTACCAGAGTTCAGGGCAGCGTGGGTGGAACGGGCTGTGCGGTCACCAGGCTGACCAGGTGTAACTCGAGGTCACCACCACCCTGCCACTGCTGTGCAGCCAGGGCTGCGGGCAGGAGTCCCAGCAGGGCCCTGGCTGAGGGGGAGGATGACCCACTCATGTGGTCTGAATGCTGGAGACAGAGCAGAAAGGCCACCTCTCAGCACGTCCCTGGGGACAAGGGAGTCTGTCTTCATTCCTGCAGGGTCCCCCTAGAAGGAAGCAGTCTCCCCGCCTCGCCAGGAAGCGGAGCCCATCATCCCTCTGCCAGGGTCAAGGGAACGTCTTCATGACCTTGGGCCCTGCAGTGGCTTCTAGGACATTTTGGGGATGAGGTGGTCTCTGCCCAGGAAGTCGGGTCCCCTGATGGAAGTTCTGAATGAAACATGGGACCCGCTGAAGCCAAGACCACACCTCACACCAGAGCCACACAAACAGCCACCGGCGCAGGGAGCCTGGGCGGGCGGAGAGGCTGAGCAGGACCAAGGGGTCCTAAGACACCTAGACCTGCACCCGGCTGGCAGGAAAACCCACGTCTGATGAAGTCACATCTTGCCCTGTCACCTGGAGCTTGGACTCGGCCTCAGTCTGTTCATCCACGGATGGGGAAAGAGGGGCTCAGTGGACTGACCTAGGCTTGGGGGCCTAGCAGCCAAGGGACATGCCTTCCTGCAGGGTGGAGGGGAGAGACGAGCTGAGAAGTCGGGGCTGCCACCACTGAAGGTCAAGTTAACTGTGCCCTGAAAGGGAATCCACTGCCCCCTTCAGGAGCCTTGAAGCTCGAGGCTGCAGGGTGGCCAAGCCTGGGCTCCTGCTCTCGGCCACACACTGCTACGAGTCTTGAGGGCCTAGGGACACTGAGAGAGTCGTCACTGAGTCCCTTGGTGGGGTGACCACCACAGCCACTGCTCATGTGACAGGCTTGGATGAGGAACCCCATTATCCCTAGCAGGCTTGGCGGAGACCATGAAGGCACCAAGTGGTGGCAGAGGCTGCATGTCTTCCTCCACCATGGCCCAGGTGGTGGTCTGTCCCCAGGGCCCGCCTGGTGCAGCCCGGTGCGTGCACAGCCCTGGTCCATGGAAGGGACAAGATGGGATGGGTGAGCAGTGAAGCAGACGATGGCACACAGGGACACGAAGCAGGCTGCAGTGCGGGGCCAGGCGAGGGGAGGCGGCGTCCCTTACTTGTGGGGAGCTCCCGGGGGAGAAGCCTTGATTGGAGACAGGCGAGGTGGGAGACTGGTTGGCCGGGGAGCCCGCGCTAGTGCGGTACTGCTGCAGAGCCGGCGCCTGCGACGACAGACAGGTCAGACCGCGGCCTAGCTCCCCGAGCACGGGGCCCGTCTTGGTTTCCTGGGAGCGGCTGGTCCCATGAGCTCCCAGTAGGCTCCCACCACGCATGCCTTGACGGTGGGTGCCAACCAACACAGGTAGCCAGGGCACCCCGGGCACCCGGAGCTGTGTCTGAGCCTGAGGTCTCCAGTGAAGAGCAGGCTGCGAGAGCCCAGCACGGGTCTCCCTCCCCGCCTTCCCAGGGCCACAGGAGGGGGCTGGAGAGTCAACCTGGACTCGGGCACCTCAGAGCTGAGAGCGCTATGTGCACACACCCACACCCACATGCAACAGCCACGTGTGCACACCCACATGCACATCTACACAAATGTGTGTACACACGCATATCCAGGCGCGTGCACACACCCATTTGTGCACTCAGATACAAGTCTGCACTCACACAAGCCCATACACACCCTCACCCATGTACTCGTAGCCAGACACACACAAGTACACCCCTCTATATACACGCAGGACCACCAGTGCCCACACCCCATGGGCACATGCCCCTCTGAGCATGCGCCCCTCACACACAGGGCGGGAGAAGCCCAGCAGGGCAGGCAGAGCATGACCTCTGCTCCCAACAGCCTTCAGCAGGGGCAAGCCTGGCCCACCCTGTTCACTGGGGCTGACAGGAAGGCTGTCTCTGGACGCGCCACAGGCTCTCAGCACTGTGTGCTCACCACTGCAGGCCTCCCCAGGGACAAGCCTGCCTGGGTTATGCCATCTGAGAGACCTCTGAGGGATCTGACCACTTCCTTGAGCCAGATCCAGTGAAGGCAGCGCAGGCCAGGCTAGGACCTAGATTTAGACCCCACTCTGGTCCTGATCCAACCTGGCCATGCTGTGTGCCTCCAGGCAAACTGCCAAACTTCTCTGAGCCTGTGATTCAAGGAGGTCCAGTTCAATTGATCCAGGGCCCCAGTACTGCTTCACCTCCATTTTCTCAGTGGCCCTTTTTAAGCAGTCTGGGGTAGGGGGTGGAGTCCAGGTGGGACAGGATACGGGTGACAGAGGAGCCAGCAAAGAGGAAACGACCACAAAGAAATGATCCCCACTCACTGAGTCTGCACAGAGACTCAGAGGTCACTCGGGTCTGTGCCCAGTGGAAACCAGCAGATCCTGGGGGTGCTGGGTGGTCCAAGTAAGTCCTGACCCAAGAGCCCTGGAGAGGCTGTCTCTGCACCTGATGGGGACACAGCGCTTCCAGTGACGGCCCAGCTCCTGAGCAAGGGCACGGCACCTGCTGTGATTTCACCAGAGGAAGAGCCTGGGCCATGGGGGTCCCCACGCAGGGCAGGTCTGCCTATTCTTTACAGAGCACGAGGTTCTAAGGCCTTCAGCCTGCAGCCGGAGCCAAGGCTTGAGGGGGAGGGTCAAATGTGTGCCAAACACGGTCCTTGGTGGAGCTGCGACCCCCATTATCAGGAAGGTGTGGTGGTCCAGGGGTTAACCCAGCCAGTCCTAGCACTCGTTAGACTCCGCCTGGCCCCGGGCAGGGCGTGCCTTGCTCTGGGCTGTGGCTTCCTGCCCCAGGGGCTGTGCTGCCTGAACCACCTCATGAGGCCCTGGCCTCAGCCTGAGCGGGCTTCCAGAATGCTGTTTCCCAGGCCATAGGAAGCGCCCTGGCACCTCCCAGGAGGCCGGTTTCCAGCAGGAGCGGGGGCAAGCAGGAGTGCTCAGTAGTCAAACCCGAGGGGGCCCCTGGAGGAGTCTGGGGCCAATGACCCTGCTCAGGCCTCAGTTTCCCCTCCAGTACTCGGGGTGACAACCTCGGCTTAAGGAGTCCCAGCAGTAGCCCTCGTCGTGGGGGGCCTGGCCTGGCCTGGCCCAGGGCAGGGTCTGCTTCTATCCTGACCCTCACACACACCGTCGGGGGGCCCCACCGTCCTGCCCAGCCCAATGGGGTCTCCTGCAGCCCCCAGACTCCTCCTCCACCAGCCCCCCAGCCAGGCCCTGCAGGACCGTCCCGGGCTTACCGAGGCGATGTCAATCCCCATCGATGGCTGGCCCGGGTTCTCTGGGGGGGACTGGGGGAGAGAGGACGGTACCGTGACCGCGAGCGGGGGCAGCTGTGGCCCCCGCGTCAGGCTGGCGCTTGGCATCAGAGGGCCTCCCGGGGGTAGGCCAACGGGCACCTGAGGCGGCGGCGGGGGAGGCTGCTGTTGGGACGCCGGCGGTGGAGGTGGTGGGGGCTGGGGCTGCGGCGGGGGCGGCTGTTGGGAGCCAGCCTGGGTGAAGAAGGCGTAGGGCAGCTGCTGCTCCAGAGACAGGGCGTCCATGGCCACGGCCTGGGGAGGAGAGGTCATCAGGTGGAGCCACAGGGACCTGGTCCCCAAGGCCCCACAAACTTGTCAATACTACCACGGGTAGACAAACCCCATGAGCTCCGCCCCTGGACTAGGTGCTTCCAACAATGAGAGACTCAGAGCCTCGGGAGGGCAGAGCCCACCCAGGGCCCGTCCTGCCGTGAAGCCTTGTCCACGCTGGGGAGCCTGGGAAGGTGGGGGTTATGGAGACACTGGTACAGTCACGGGCCAAGGCTGGCTCAGGTCCTTGTCAGAATTGGCAAGGGGCTGGGGTTGTGGCTCAGTGGTAGAGCACTCGCCTAGCACGTGCGAGGCCCTGGGTTCGACCCTCAGCCCCACATAAAAATAAATAAATAAAATAAAGGTATTGTGTCAACTACAACTGAAAAAAAGAATTGGCAAGAGGAAAAGAAGCAGAGGGTAGTGGTGGTATTTGGAAATTCTGTGTAGAACCTCACAGCCGTGGGGCCCCTGGGGGAAGGCCCAGGGTGAGGAGGGCCAGGTCCCCATCCCATCCCCTGAGAGAGGATGGCTGCCCAAGAGCTATAGCACATGGGCACTTAGTATGCCCCGCCCCCAATAAGCAGTGGGGTTCAAGAAAGGGGCTGGGGCTGGGGCTCAATGGTAGAGCGCTCAGCGGTAGAGGCACTGGGTTTGATCCTCAGCACCATGTAAAAATAAATAAATAAATACATAAAGGTACTTTAAAATTTAAAAATTAAAAAAAGCAGCTGGGTGCAATGGCACACCTGTAACTCTAGCGGTCTGGAAGACTGAGGCAGGAGGATCGCAAGTTCAAAGCCAACCTCAGCAAAAGCAAGATACTAAGCAACCCGGTGAGACCCTGTCTTTAAACAAAATATAAAATAAGGCTGGGGATGTGGCTCAGTGGTCAAGTGCCCCGAGTTCAGTTCCTGGTACCCCCCACCCCTCAAAAAATTTTTTAAAAAAACAGTTTCAAAAAGGAAAGGGGCAGGAGGCCCAGGATCCAGACAGTCCACAAAGACACACAGCTGCAGGAGCTGGCCAGGGCTGTGTGGATTCTGACCCAGAAAGACACACTGATAAGGAGACGGAGGCATGCGGTGGTCACCCGGCCCAGGCCTGGCAGCGGGAGGGGGGGATTACTGCGCATTCTGTTGTAGGTGGACGGTGCCATTGTGGCCATGTTAAAACCAGGTATTTAAAAAATAGGGACAGGTGGTAGTCAGTGGAAGAGGGCTTGCCCAGAGTGCTCGGGGCCTGGGGTCCGTCCCTGGGACGAGCAAAACAGAAACAAAGCAAAGCAAAAGATGTTGAAACAGACAGACTCCTAGGAATCCACAAACTACCAAAAACAAATCGACAAGAAACAAGAGACGTCTTATAATACGTAAGGAGATTGAACCAGTCATTAAAAAACTCCCACTAAAGACAGACCAAGAGCCAAGTGGTTTCAGTGGCAAAATGCACTGAATTTTATCAAAGATTCTGAGCAGGAATTGAAATGCTTCTTAAACTCTTCCCCTCCCCCCGCCAAAAAGGAAATAATTCCTCCCTCACTCTACAAGGTAGGATTTATCATGTCAAAGAGAAGTGACAGAAAATACTAAAATCAGAAATGAAAATGGAAAGTCCCTACTGATTTTACAGGAAGAAAAAGGACCATAAGAATATCATGAAAATTTACAACAGTGAGTTGAAAACCCGAGATGGACAGAGGGACACCAATATGAGAAGCAGAAGAGAGTCGATGGAGCCCTGTGGCAAACTGAAACAGTAAATCCAAGCTTGCTGACCATTCCATTACGGAAAAGTCAACTAGACCATGAAGAAGGGAAGCAGCTTAGTGGAGGATGCTCATGGGACCCGCAGGAGCCCCCTTCATGGCCTCTGCCCAGGTCAGGCACAGGGGACTCTAGGACCGCTGACTCGTACATTTTCCCTGTGGTTGAAAATCAACAGGGAATCTTTTGGATTCCACCGTCCCCTGAAGGGGCAGGGGCCTCTTGGAGGGGCAGAGTTGAGCCCTCACCTTCCCCACCCACCTCACCCTCGCACCTGAGTGATGGGTGACAGTGGGGACAAGGTGGGCGACACCTGCTGGGCCTGCTGCCTCCTTGCTTCTGTGCTCAGGGACAGCGGGCTGACACCAGCAGGTCGGTGCTGTGGAGAGGAGCCCGGCGTGCTCATCCCTGGAAAGGAAGAAGGGAGGCGGGGAGGACGGTGTGAGGGAGGCCAAAGCCACTCACACCCCCACAGTCACGCTGCACAGGGACAGCCCAGGTGCTCAGACAGAAGCCAGTGGGCACTTCCCAATGGCCAGAGCTGGGGAGTCCCTCCACCCGGTGCGGCCGTCTTCCTCTTGCCCTCCTAGTTGACCCCACCACTCCTCCAGCAGGGGTGTGACCCACAAACCCAATCAGCATTTCCCCACTCCTGGAGCACGATTGGTCCCCAGACAGGCATGTGACCAGGTTGATCCAATGAGAGCCTGCCTTGGGATTTTGGATGGAAACTCCAGGAAGGGCTGTCTGTTGGGGGGGCACATTCCACACAAGGAAAAGATCCACCAGCTGGAGGGCTGAAGGGGACAGGCAAGGACTGAGCCTCTCTCCAGCCAGAGTGGTATTTCCTGGCTTCAGACAATAAACCCCCTTTTTGTGCTGAAGTGGGCTCAGGTCGGAGATAGCTTTAGGCAAGTCTGTGCTGCGGCTTCCTCCACAGGCTCAGCGCTCCTCCTCCAATGAGCATGTCCGCTCCCTGAGCAGCCCCTCATGGCTCCACAGTGCCCCAATCCACGCCATCCTCCTGCACCAGAGTGCCCCCCCCAGGCTGCCCAACTCAGACCTGATTCCTTCACGTTCTCCCCGTCCCTGCAGGGGCTCCTGTCAGGAGCCTGCACCTTGCCCCTTCTTTCACCCCGGCCTCCGAGGCCCTCACCCTGAGCAATGTGATCCCCTGGATACCACTGTGGTGAAAGAGCAGGTAAGATCGAGGACAAGGTGGCAGCGGTTTGGGCTGCTGGGCTCTCCTGGGCACCATGCCAAGCACACAGCAGGCCTCATGAGAGGAACCCTGGGGCCCAGCCTGACCCACACCCACCCTGACACTCAGTTTCCCTGTCAGTGAGATGAAGATGATAACAGCTGCACTCAGGTTCACCGTGAAGCCCCAGTGAGGTCACAAGCGGGCTTGGGAGAGTCTGGCCTGCAGCCAAGGCCGGCTGAAACTGCCTGACTCACCCCGGGAGATCCGGGGCCCATCCGCCCAGGGCACCAAAGCAACTGTGTTCTGGCAGACGGGGCGGCGGGTTTACGGGTCTGTGGGAACACACCCAGCACATGCCAGGAGACGACAGGCAGTCTTCCCCATGCCCAGGGCAGCTGCTCGCTGGGGCAAGCTGGGTCATGCCTGGACTTCCCCGTGGACGCCCTGCTGGCTCTGCTCAGCTCACATGGGAGGGGGGCAGGGCTGGTGTCTGCACAGACCCTGGGCATCAGGACCAATGATGTCAAGGGGACATCAATGAAAGACCAAGCAGGAGAAGTCTGGGAGGCACCTGTTCAGAGGAAACTAGGAGTCAGGACCGCAGGCCGCCCTGTTGGGTCTGGGCACCAATTATCTTGTATGTTTGGTGGGGCCAAGGAACATTTGGTGCTCAGGTCAGGAGCAGATGTCAGGGCTCAGTAAGGGGCACAGCCTGTGCTAAGCGCTTGCAGGAGGTGGACGTGGGGCCCGTGGCTCATCATCAGCGCAGAACACTGACCTGCTGTCACCTGCCTTCTCTCTCCAAGAGAAGCTGGAAACCAACGCTTTTAAATGTGGATTTGAAGTCACACGCACGCACACAGGCACGCACACAATCATGTACCACACAAAACACACCACCAGCTGGTTTGCCCTTCGGCTGCCCACCTCCAACATCTGTCCTGAATACGAGTCTAACTCCCTGTGGGCTGCCAGGCAAGTGCCCAGCCTCACACAGGGCGGCCACCACCCCAGAGGGGCCAGTCGGGCCAGCAGGGCACACACAGCATCTTGCTATTGTATGCCTTTCAGCAACCTGGCTCACCTCTGGAGCGGGAACACGGCCAGCTGGAGGGGAACTCTGGGGCGGGCGGGCAGGGAGAGCTGCCAGGAGGGCGGGCCGGGTGGGCCAGGTGGCAGGAGCCCGCCCTGTGGCACGCAAGCCCTGCTGGCAGGCATGGCCGGCCTCGGAGCTGTGCCAGGAAGGGCCCCCAGGGCCTGCCCCCCTCCCAAGACCTGGCAAGCAGCCAGGACAAAGCTTTTGCAAATGTGAGACGCCGGGGCTGCCCCCCCCCCCCCCCCCCCCCCC